ATCAATTTATCCCTTTAATTGACTTGACCTCTCTTTAAAACTCACATTAATTCCATTTATAGATTAATTTATCCCTTTAATTTACTTTAATTCTCTTTATAACCAACTTTAATTAAATTAATAGATCCATTTATCCCTTTAATTAACTTCTAACTCCCTTTACAACCAACTTTAATTCAATTAATTATCAATTTATCTCTCTAATTAACTTTAACTTCCTTTACAACCAACTTTAATCGTATTTATAGATCAATTTATCCCTTTAATTAACTTCTAACTCCCTTTATAACCAACTTTAATTAAATTAATAGATCCATTTATCCCTTTAATTAACTTATAACTCCCTTTACAACCAACTTGAATTCAATTAATGATTAATTAATCCCTTTAATTAACTTTGTTTATAACCAACTTCAACCCCATTCATCGATCAATTTCCCTCTTCAATCACTTCCAACCTCTTCATGACCACCTATAATTAAGTTGATAGATACATTTATCCCCTTAATTAACTGTTAACTCCCTTTACAACCAACTTTAACTCAATTAATGTTTAATTAATCCCTTTAATTAACTTTAACTCCCTTTATAGCCAACTTCAACCCCGTTCATCGATCGATTTCCCTCCTCAATCACTTCCAACCTCTTCATGACCACCTATAATTAAGTTGATAGATCCATTTATCGCCTTAATTAACTGTTAACTCCCTTTACAACCAACTTTAATTCAATTAATGATTAATTAATCCCTTTAATTAACTTTAACTCTGTTTATAACCAACTTCAGGCCCGTTCATCGATCGATTTCCCTCCCTCAACCACCTCAACTCTTCACAACCAACACCCAAACCCATTCCCATCACCCCCATTCCCTCCTAATGACCCAAATTGATCTTTTTAATCACCTTAATGACCTCAATTCCCAATTAACCCCCCCCAATTAGCCGTCCTCCTGGACCCTTCCACCACCCACCCACTTATACATCAATTTAACTCTCAAAATCACTTTACAACCAGCTTTAATTCAATTAATAGATCCATTTATCCCTTTAATTAACTTCTAACTCCCTTTACAACCAACTTGAATTCAATTAATGATTAATTAATCCCTTTAATTAACTTTGTTTATAACCAACTTCAACCCCATTCATCGATCAATTTCCCTCTTCAATCACTTCCAACCTCTTCATGACCACCTATAATTAAGTTGATAGATACATTTATCCCCTTAATTAACTGTTAACTCCCTTTACAACCAACTTTAACTCAATTAATGTTTAATTAATCCCTTTAATTAACTTTAACTCCCTTTATATCCAACTTTAATCCCATTTATCGATCGATTTCCCTCCTCAATCACTTCTAACCTCTTCATGACCACCTATAATTAAG